GGGTAGGGAAATAGATCTATGTGCATATATTTATAGTTTAGTATTAAGACAGCAGATGGACATTGGGCCTCCACTCAAGTACTTACACAATGCAAGAACACGTTGTCCTATTAAATTGGCATTCCATGATGCATACATTCCCGACACGATTGCTGAAGAAAAATGTATGCATAAGCAAATGTGGTGAAGAAAGCTGATGGTGCCCGGCTATCAAAAGATATAGCATCTGGGATCTTAAGGGCTTGAAGATAAACAAGCGGTCATCTAGCTGAGAAGCATCAAAGCCCACGTGGACGAAGCACACCAGCCTGTCTGACAACGAGGTGCAGAAGGGACCAGTTATCAGACATCAAAGAACAAAAAATCATTTCAGTGGGTGCCCACCCTCCCCATACGATCACTGAATACAAATGTGTGCATAGGTAAATGTGGTGAAGAAAGCTGATGGTGCCCGGCTATCAAAAGATATAGCATCTGGGATCTTAAGGGCTTGAAGATAAACAAGCGGTCATCTAGCTGAGAAGCATCAAAGCCCACATGGAAGAAGCACACCAGCCTGTCTGACCATGAGCTGTCGAAGGGATCAGGTATCAAGCATCAAAGAACAAAAAACCATATCATTGTAAATGAAGGTGAGTGCAGAGTGGAGACTCAAAGCCCATCGGCAGGCAACTGGGCACTCCCTTACTGAAGGGTTGTGGGGAGGAGATGACTCAGTCAGGGTGCAGGGTAGCAACCATGAAACATATTACTTTCCTCTAGTTCTTAAATGCTTCCTCCCCCCCACTATCATGATCCTAATTCTACCTTACAAATCTGGCTAGTCCAGAGGATGTACATTGGTACAGATAGCAACTGGAAACACAGGGAATCCAGGACAGATGACTCCTTCAGGACCAGTGCTGAGAGGGGGATGCCTGGAGGGTGGAGGGAATGTGGGGTGGAAAGGGGAACCGATGACAAGAATCTACATATAGCCTCCTCCCTGGGGGAGGGACAGCAGAGAAGGGGGGGGGGATGTCCGACAGTGTGACAAATGACAAAATAATAATAATTTATGAATTATGAAGGGTTCGTGAGGGAGGGGGGAGGGAGGGGGAAATGAGCCGATATTAAGGGCTCAAGTAGAAGGCAAATGTTTTGAGAATGATGAGGGCAACAAATGTACATATGTGCTTGACACAATGGATGTATGTATGGGTTGTGATAAGAATTGTACAACCCCCCAATAAAATGATTTTTTTTAAAGTTCTGAGTTTAATGAAATATTCATAACTTTCTAATATACCAGGCCTCATTACCATCAGACTCGTCTCAAGGATTACTTACACTGATGCTGCCACTCCAAATTTAAGTGTAATCTCTTCAATGTATGTATTCCCAAATTAAGAGGTGTTTATGTAAGGCCCTTGAATTGAAAGATATATCCCTATTTCTTTTCTCTACCCCTGCCCCGAAATCCCTAGGATATTCCCTTTTCAGCCTGCCCTCCCTGTATCTCAACACCCCATGATTCTGATTCCCTCATTCGAGATGCACCCAAATATGTCTCCTCCAGTTCCAAGTCTCAAAAATATACACCAGAGGCATTAATGGCCTGCAATTAGCACTGACCTACAAATCATCTACACACAAAACCTTCAGCCTTAAGTCGCTGTGCCGCTTCCATTTAAAAACACAAAAGGACTTGAAGGCCTCGCTTTGAAATATACTCCCCAGTAAACACCACACATGTGGCCCCTAAAACTCAAGAGAGTGGTCTCTTCAAATTTGCCTGTCTGGCTTCCCTAAAATGCCCACACATGCATGGAAGTCACAGAATGGGCAACTTCCCCCACACGTCCTCTCGGCCCCTTGGTCTGTAACTGTTAGATGCGCCCCTCAGAAAAACGACGCCCCAATGCCCTAGTTTCTTATCTGGATAGAACGCTTGAATCCTATCAGGAAGCTGCTTAAAGGGCTGGACTGGGAAATTCTTTCTAGAACAGAAAATGCGGAGACCTTAGCTCTCCACCAGTGGGCGCTAAGCCCATTACGACGTCCCCCATTTCCTTTTTCCCTCCATTTTCCGTTTCCCCGTTGCCTGGCAACGCAGCAATCAAGGGTTTTTTTTTGCTGTTGCCAAGCAACCGTCTCCTGGAACCTAGTGCTAAGGTAGGAAGGGTGCTCTGATGAAATCCGAACAGGCCTCCATCTTAGGGAAATTGAGACGTCAGATCTCCCAGCTCCTGGATTCTCCTTTCCGAAGACCCCCGAGTCCCAGAGTTGCTTAGGCAACAAGCCCCTCAAATCTCCTTTTGGCACATGGGGACCACGTCACGCCCCTAAGATCAGCCCCGCCCTCATTTGGTCAGGTAACCCAGCTCCACGCCCCGCCCCTTTCCAAAGATTGTTCTCCCCGCCTCCTTCGAGAGAGTAAGTCAGACTCCGCCCACCTGCCTACAGAAAACCACGCCTCCGTCCACTTCCCGCCCATTCGCTCCCCCGGCCCCGCCTACGCAGTCCCTCCGCCACGCCCCTGTCAGCCAATGAATGAGGCCGTTGGCCACACTGCCCCGCCCCCGGCATCTTAACTTGGCCCAATAAGGACCACCCGGAGGGTTTAACCATTTCAACTCCAAGGGATCCATCCAAACTCCCGGGGTCTTTTCCCCGCTCCCCCCCACCCACCCACCCCTCACTTGTTCGGCTCCACCCTCCGCCACCCTCGCCCAGCCCTTAAGTCAGCCACGCAACCTCAGTCGTCGCCGGTTACCATGGCAACGGCGGCATAGCGCGGAGAGAAGAGGGGAGGGACGGGGGCGGAGTGGGAGAAATAGATGCTCGAAACCAAGAGATATGGCAAGAGATATAGGCACGAAGTTAGCATAAGTAAGAGCTATAAAAAGGCATGAGTTTGCACAGGGCCTGGCACGTAGTAGGCATTCAAAAAGTGTTCCTTAAAATTCTGCGGCAGGAGCCTAAATATAGTCAATGAAAGATGGAGTGCTCTCAAATGGAGCTAGGGAGCTCCACAACCGCAAAACCGGGGCTCTCCCTACCCTACCCAGCATGGGGGGCGGGGGTGGTGGTGGTAGAAGCCATGTGCCCCCTGCTGGCTCTTCCTGGCCTACCCTCCATTGCCCTGGTTAGATCTGGACCACAACTCCCAAGAACCCTACTGGCAGCAACCTTCTAACATTGAGGGAGCATTCGCCTCAAGGCCTTCTGGGAGTTGAAGTCCCCACCATCCCATGGTTGACAAGTTTTTCGGCCAAGAAATGTGACCAGCCTGAGCACTGGAAGCCCTCAAATGCATGAACCCTCTCTGCGAAAGCCTACTTATTCCTTTGCATAATACCCAACCCTGCACTCCATTGCAGAAGTAGGAGTCTAGGGAGGTGGGGGTTGAATAGTCCCCTCTGAAAACGGCAGCCAGTGCAGGCAAGCCCCTCACCCTAGCTCGAATATGTATGTCCTTGTGTTGGAAACAGAGCCCACACATTCCAAGTGGGTTTCCTAAGAACACCAGTACACAGAGGGCCATAGCCAGGGAGCTTAAGAGCAAGGGGCAGGCTAAGGGCAGGAGACAGGAAAATCAGAGGATCAGACAGGAATTAAGGCAGCCTGGGTCACAGAAACTAAGGTCCAAAACTACTGACACCGCAGGGGGTGAGGAACTGGAGGGTAGGGATAGCAAGCAGCCTGGGAGAAAGCCCCCCCCCACCCCCAAGCGGGGGATTGAGGGAAGAAGCAAGTGGCCCTGGGGAAGGGACAGGGGCTCTGGACAACACACGCAACACATATGTACACACGTGTGAGTTTGTGACCAAGAACATGTGTGTCCTCAGCTCCCTCCCTTGAGAAGCTGCAGTTCCCACTAAATATAACCCCCTCCCCAGCCTGTGACTCACTCGGACCCCGCCTCCCCCGGCCCCCACTTCCTGTCCCACCCCCCAGCCCCCAGCTGCCTGCCAGGAGCCCCAAACCTCCCTCTACACACCAGCATCCAGCTCTCCAGTCCCGGCGTCTCCCATCAAAAACCTACCTAGGCATTCTGCATCACGGTTCCCTGCCCTTTGCGGGGACACCTTGGCATTCCCTGGATGCTGCCACCCTTGCCCGCCTCCTAATCCTTTCCACCCTAGTGATCTCAGTGAGAAGGCATCAGGGACCCTTAACGCCAGGTGTGCTCCCCACCTTGATCCTAAGCATCAGGACTTCGCTGGAACGTTCCCCTCCATCTGCTCTTCCTCTTCTCAACCAGGAAGAGATGCAGTGTGGGAGGAGATGGAGATACTGGGCACCTGCCTGGGCCACCCAGAATTTCACACCATTCCCCTAGCTCCCCTCCTTAAAGCCCCTCACCTCTAACCTCTCATCCTCATCCTCAGGAGCTGCTGCAACATCTCCCTTCCATGGTGGAAACCTCAAATCCTAACCTCCCCTGGTCCACTCCCAACTCTCCCCATTCCATAGGATTTGATCCCCAAATAAGTAGTGTCTTCGAATTGAGGGGCACTCCCAAATGTATCTTGCTCAATAGCCCGAAGGCCTAACCCATTCCATTCCCTACCACCTGACACCCCCCATCAGTCATGCACTTCTGCCCCACCACACAGAAGCCCCCACTCCCCCAAATTAGACATGGCACCTGGAAGCCAGCTTGGCCCCAGTAGGGAAGAAGGCCCTACCACTTAGCCCCTAGCCCACCTTCCACCACACAAGAGTAAGACCACCATGGGAGCCAAGCTTCTCCTTAAGTCCTCCTCAAGCATCATTGGTGACCCCCCAAATCCACAAGAACATGAACACCCCAAATTTTCCATTTCTCCACAGGTACAAAGAGATCACTCCAGAGGGCACCTGTGGCCAAACCCAGTTATTTCTGATATGTGAACCCCCAAACTCAACCGCGATCCCCCAAGACATCTTACTTCTGATGCTCTCACCCTAAAGGCCCCCCCACTCCCAGATTCGAGTTCCCCTCCCCTGGTTCATTTAGCCCCCATCACGCTTACCTTGGTTGTCACTATACAGAGACAGTCCATGTTGGGGGGCCTGGCCGCGTCGGCGGGTAAGGGGCTCTGACTTCATCGGAGTTTCCTTCCTCCCCTCCGCGGGTTCTCACCCCTCCCCCCTCCGCACCCCACTTTTGCAGGGGGGGCCAGGATGGGGGGAGGGGTGAGAGGGGAAGGAGGAGGTTGGAGAAGGGAAGGGTAGGGGCGCGTGGGAGGGAGGGGAAAGGGGCCCTAAAAGGGGGTCCCCAATGGAGGGGAAGGGGCTTGGGGAGCACACCCCGATG